AGAAGATTGAATACGTTGATACTCGTCATTTATTTGTTATAATCCTCTTCTTGTTCACTCTAATACCTGCTCATTTTTTTCTGACTGTAACTTACTGTAACTTAAGTGTGAAAACTTCAACTTGAGCAAGATCTAACCTTGTTATATCCTTCTCTCTATCCAGTGTCATAGTATCACAATTCATTTCATCTGATATCCAATAATCTAAAGCCACTCAGTGAGAAATTAAAGAGATAATTTGTCGGTTAGTGCTGTTTTGCAGAGTGTAGCTGAAACCTTACTAATTGACGTCAGACATGAATGCGACAACTTTCAGATCACTTCCAACCGAACTGGTTACCCAACCTGAAATTGAATTAGTTGTGACCGCAATAACCTTGTGATAAAGTATGTGTGGCGCAAGTTTGTGTTCCCGATAGGACACCAGTTCCTTCATGATGGCAGATGTGTGGTGTTGTTAACTATTAACATGCACTAAGCGTAGGTCTATAACTTCCTCTACAATAGACTTCTAAAATCCAACGTTAATAAACAAATTTGTAACTTGTTGTGAGCAAGCAATGTATTTCAATGTAGCATATTCTTCCCCAAAGTACGGATCATAAGCTGTATATCACTTGGCCATGTGTGATCTTCCAACATCAAATAGGCAGTATTTACCCGGTCACTTAAAGATCTACCACACATCCCAAATAAAATAGTTTCATGAGAAATCGGTACCTGTAACTGCGTTCTTAGACTATAAGCAATTTGTAGCTGTGTGAAGACTTGATGCATTTCGTATTGTATTCTCTCAGCTCGGTTGTTAAATCGTGAAGCTTTTATCGTCTTGCTAGACGCCATCGTCAGCACTTCAGTAGGAAGTGAGCTGTATCTCTCCGTGAGTGATTTAGTGACTTGCCCTGAGGATGTGGTCTTTGATTGGTTGTTTCTTTTGATTGTTGTGTCATTGACTGTATAGACTTTCCTGTTGACTGTTCCTCTGCTTGACCTCTGACCTTTCTGTCGTTTATCATTTCTCTTATTGGTTGATGGATTGGGTCTATGACTGTACATCTCCCCATTGATTGCTGACTGACTGACCTGAATGCCAAGCGCCTAGAAATTCTCTGATGATATTCTTTGTGTTTCCTCTCTTCATCCAAGATGTCTGCATTGTCAAAATTGAATTCGTGTCCATAGTTGTTATCCACGTGTATTGAAATGAGTGACTAAATGTCGTGATCATTGGGTTCATATCGAGTTTGCAAGTTTGATTAATCTTGCATTCAATCTCACATCAAGTAGTGATGTGCTGAGTAGTCCCAAACTATGAAGAAAGAATCCTTAGTGAGTGAGTGTTATTGTGCAGTTTTGAAAATAGGATTATGACATATTCATAATTGATAATAGATAAGACTTGTTCTCTCTCAAACCCTCAAACATGGAAGGCATTGTAGTTATAGCTTTGCCTGTGCTCCAAACTCTGAGGCGACTGATGCAGCTCACATGGTTCATGTTAGTCACTGGGATGTTCAATAAGATGCATAATCATTTATTTCATGAGTGAATAAAGCTATTTACTTTAGTCTAGGCCAATAGCATTGTGACAACGCATTTTAAGTGCTACTTGTATCCCAGATACTAGGATGCTAACTTCGAGTGGCTTTCTAAGGCCACTCTAGCAACTGTTGAGATGACCAATCAAGCTTCGGCATTTCGTTTGGGAAAGTAATTTTCCATAAAATATAGGAATGTAATTGGCTGTATCATCAGTTGTTAGGGTGGCGTTTAAATCCACCCCATATTAAATAGCCCATGCGTGGGAAACAAAATTACGGTCGGGTAGGTTTGGTTAAAGCGGTCAAAACAAGTAGGCAAACAACCTTGGAAAACGAATGAGGTATCCAGGGTACCAAATAAAGGTATCGTGATATACGATACTATCCTGAGGAAAGGCTTGGTAAGAGAGTTCCAAAACGCTACGCTAATATACTACTTACTACCTATTATTATTATTATTATTATTATTATTATTATTATTATTATTATTCAAAGAAAAATGTTAACTGGAACAACATTACAAATGAGGTAGTGGTCAGTGTACACTCACCTATAGTCCTATAGGTGTAATTTATTATGCATTCAAAGCCCAGAGAGACGCAAGAGACAATGTGGGCGTATTAAGAGCAAATCAAGATAGAAGCAGAAGAGGAAATGAAGCACATTATGCAAATGACTGTCTTAGTGCAAGTTGTACAATATTTGATGGCTACTGTACAAGATGTCGATGATTAATATTCCTTCCTGTGTCTCAGTCTTCTCGTCTCCTACATATGTATTAATGGATACAGTCTAGTCTCTGGTAGACGTGGCTCCACAGGTAATGACTTATTCCATGAAGGGCATGTAAGTGGCTTGGGGAACGTAAATGACATAGTCCTATCAGGTGGAGCCGCTAACAAGATGCAAGATCTTAAGACGAGTAGAGCAGACATCCGAGTAGGTTTGGCTTGCTTTTTGCAAATATGAAGTATAGACTGATACCTCAGGACTGATCTGTACGTACTCCCAACTTAAGAAACAATAAAGTGATAGGATGGGTTGATCACTCCATTTACCTTAGGAGTACTATGATCCCAAATGGGCTGGTTGGTAACGCAATCTCAACCTGGATACTGAAGGGCTGTTTGTCATTTGCCAACCTGAGTTATCTCTGGTGTCGATTTGTGAGATGTCCAACTACCTGTTAAAGGAAGAGTATACTGAGCTGCAGTCCGTTTTTATGTGTTATAAGGCTGTGAGACATGCCCTTGAAAGTACACATTAAGTATTCCTTCCTGCGTCTCACTCTCCTCGTTTCCTTCAATATGATGTTGGGATCTGCAACCGTTAACTAAGAATAACTACGTGTTAACTATGTTAAAAGCGTCATTAAATGGTCAGTTGTATTCCATATGGATTCGTCTTAGTGAAGAAACTGTCATAGTTAAAATGGATACCTCGATGTTAATCTTGTTGTAATCTTTGTAATCGCATAAAATTTACATATATGCCATTACTTTCAAAATACTTGAGTTGCTATACCCCTGATTTGACGGTTGACCCATTGTTCCTGGTCTTAACCTTGGTTTCGAATTTCTTATTGAGTTCTACGTTTAACGGAAATGTCCAACATGTGTCCTAACTGGTAACATTTCCCGAGTTACTATGTTTGAGGTGACTCTACTGCTGCTAACGTCACACCAGCTGACTCAGAGAGAAGACGAAATTAGACTGTTCATCCACACAATGAACAATCATAGTGTAAATAGCAAAATATAGAAAGTCTACAAAACCTTAGGGCTTGGACTGCCCAGTCAGAATGTCAACGAATACGAACAAAGACATGTGAATGACATTCGTAATTAATCGTCCGTTTCTCGCGTCCTTTCTGCAGAAAACTTCCTATCATTCCTATTTCTTAGAGAGATCAAAATTCAAGGTATAACAAGCTGTCTGCTTAGTAATTCCATTTGGCCTTTCATCATCGTTATTCCTGCATATGAACTATGCTATCTTTTCGCTTTGATTTTCATATTTATCCTTAGATGTGCCTTTGTCTAACACAGCTGTCTGTCACTGACCGAAATCCTGGACTGTCTGTGTCGTTTTGAGTTGGTAAACAGTGTCCTTTATTACTGTATCCGATAAAACTGTTCTGAAACCTTGCATACCACTTAAGCTGACCACCTTAAATATTTGAACTCTGGTGCAAATCGAACAATAGATACGTTTGGCTAGGGTTATGGAAAACATCGCTGTTAATGTATACTATATCTGAAACAAAGCGCATTCAAGATTCTGATGAAGTGCTTCAAGTAACTTCCTTATCTATTTGCCGAAAAATATTGTTTACTGTGCACCAGCCTTGGTGGTATTGGTGTCATACTTAACTCCAAAGTCGAAGTTTCACTAGCTAAGTGGATCTCAATCGACAGTCGTCTACATGCTACTAGGCTAAAAGGTTAGACTCAAGTGAGAAGTAACAGTATCTCTTCTACATCTCTGCTTGTGTCGTGACTGTCTGAAGAGTGTGTCCAGCTTAAGATGAGTTCTGCTACCAGCTAACTGATCTCCATCAGTTATGCTGGATACATATCACAGTGCTAGCTGGGACAGGAATGAACCGGTTGGAAATCTAGGCTCAGAGGAGGGTCGGTTAGGTGACTAACGAGAACTGATCTCTTACAGGTCAGATAATACGGGATATCTTCTGCAAATTTGCACACTTCACAGTTTGTTTTTAACCAGTCATCACCAATGTACTTACTTTCTGGTATCCTTCCTCTCCCATTCAAGCCTAAACTGAAATAGATCATACTACAAACTGCTGAGTGTATTCAAGAATGTGTCTGCTTCTAAAACATCTTCTCAACTCGGATCACGCTTAGGTATATGCAGGTTAATCTTGCGTTTTGATAGTCGTCAAAGTCGTCGTCCAAAAATAGTCGAAGTAAGTAGGCTGGTCGCATCTAGTATTGTAACTAAATACCTAACCGAGCTACATTCAATGGTAGCTGTGGAACCTCCAGAAGGTATAGATGAGCATTGGCTACATCTAAAAATTCCATAAAAACGGCGAGTAAGGCTGACTGGGGCTTTGAATAACATTGCACTTCGAGTTTTTAGCATTTTCTTGACGTTCATATGTGTATTCTGACAGGCACAAGGTACAATATTACTCGTTATGCAATACACTAAACAGCATTAGGATAGGGAACAGGAGGCTTAGTGGTTGAATTGGGCGAGTGAGATAGAGGGAATAGTTGGATCCGGCAATAGTCCATGGTTGTCCTAGCTCATGTGGGTCATTGCCAGTAAGAAGTATGGTGTCAGAGTTCTTATTCATATTCAAAATGTCCTTACATACTTTTCTGGTGTATGTAATGCTAATTTCAAAGACGTGTATATCGTATACATACTATCTTATTCTGCGCAAATTAGCCTTTACAATTCTCTATTTATTATATTGAAAACAGCTTCCATCCTGATTCATATATTGCGAACAAGCGAAAAAATGCTTCAGTCTATGGTGGGAATTATCAAAGACCAGTTGATATTATGAATCTACGATCTAGTCCTACAGAAGGCAATCTTTATCTATCCACCCAAATAACTAACAACAACAATATCTCCAGTTTGTCCAATAACAATAGCAGTAGTAATAATCATGATAATACATCGAATTATGTACAATCATTTTCACCAATATCATTTAGCATATCGCAACATCAAAGATATTCTATGAAACAACAATCCTGTCAACAAAATATAAATAGTTCATTAACTGATATCTGTTCTGCAACTTCTTCATTATCCGATCATACAACAAATGGTACCAATTGTCTATATCAAAATAATACTGGTTCATTATCCTTTAATGGAGGATTTGGATTAGGCGCAGGAGCAAGTGGTGGCAGTACATGTGTTCAACACCGTAATCTACCATCTCTGCCTAATCTACATGACCAGCATAATAAGACATTAACACCATCCCAATTAAGTATACCTATGGTGACATGGAGAGTGAAAGATAGTAAAGAACGCTATTATGATAAAAAATTGTTACGTTTAATTGAACAGTTACCAAAAGATAGACAGAATTCAATTGGACTTATACTCTTAGCAATGGATGTCAAGTTGATTAATCGTAATAGTAATTCAACTATAACAAACAAAGGCAATGATGATGATATCTTCTGTGGTGGTTTAGAATATCGTCTACGTGAAGCACTTGAATTGATACAACCTAAAAAACAAATATTAAATAATGATGAATTATGCCTGAATACTACTGATTTCAGTAGTAAATCATATCCAAATAAAATTATTGATGTAAGAAGTCGAAAGTAAGTTGTATTGTTTTTACTAACGTAAATTTTCTGCTAAATTTTGCATGATAAAACCGCAGTCTGTTGAGACAGAATGTGAAGTTATAGACATGAAGATTTATATTTGTCAGTTGGTTGGAAGCAATCAGTAGGAATTCCTGCTCCACCTACGTTTCGTGCTTATTGGCACTTGTTAGGAAGGCGCATCTACAGCCTGGACGGAACTGATGGCCTGTCTGAAATTCGAATCGACATCACCTAGCATTATAGTCAGCGACTTTACCACTGAGCTATTCGGGAAGCGATTGACCTCCAGTAGGACTGGGTTGCCTGTAAGTAATAAGCACTAAAAATTGGTTCTATCCTTCTTCAGAACCCTTCAAAAGTGCAAATCTACGGCCTAAAATTAGAATTAATTTTACCGTTTTTAACTTTCATCATCATTACTTTACCATTCAATTAATAAATTGATTCTCAGTAGTTCACATTTTCCAAGTTTTACCAACTGATAATATAGAATGACTATCATTCATTGGCTAGTCTACATCCATTCTCATGTCCAACTAACTTGACCCCATTGGATACAGTTCCTTATCGTAATTTTAAAAAATTCATTTTAATGCCAAATAACTAATAAGTACTAAGCTATTCTTCAAATGAGCAGTTCAAGTTATTGGATTTCAACTATATGATTGAGGAATGCACTTATTGAGATACCTAGGGATTCTAATCTGAATCCAGTGTAAAATCGGTGTGCATTGCCAAAGAGTCAACATCTCTAGGATGAATCAGATATCCGGTACTCCTTGACTGACGTCACTTCAATATGAAAACTGTCTTCAAACTATGGAATTTCCCGCAAATTAGTAAATTTACAACTTTTCTCTCCTCATTGTTATGGTTTCTTTAGTGATGTCTAGCAGTTGACATGCGTTCCGTCCTATTGGGGCTCATTAACCGTATGTACCTGCACCCCACTGAGACTCAAACCGCATACATACGCTTCGAGAGTTAAAGCAACATCCATTTAGCTATGAATATGGAGTTCAAACCGCTGTGAGAAAATCACTCACTGAAGTACTAGTGCAACTGGCTGACTAGTTTGAAATAGGGAGAAACAATTATAGAAGCCTATATGCCAACAGATTCCAGTCAGTTCATTTCACTGTAACAAGAGAAGAATTAAATATATCAAGAAATGTTAGTTTTATTTACTGAATTGATTATTTTACCAGTTAAATATTTTTAATGCAAATAATAAACCAGAGTATAAATCATATCTTGATATTTCTAAACACTAGTTTCCTCTGAGAACTTGAACTGAACTTTGTATTTTCCACATATTTCCCAACAGTATCTCTAACAGATCAAGCACAAATTCTCATTTCTACTTTCTACAATATTACTCAGACATATTTATTAGTAGCACAGATTTGAACGATTGTCTAATTAGATTGAAAATTTATAGAGACACACAGTAGAGACTGATGAAATTATAAATTTTCAAGGTGTGTTAATTGATTCCAGATTTTAAAAAGTGTTTGTTGTGCACTCTATGAGACCATTCATGTATATTTGCTTCCAAATTTCAACATTTTAATTGTCAAATGAAGCCAAACTAACTCAGCAACCTTGTGTGAACAGTTTTGTGCGGCAGGCAGGGGCTACACGTGTTGTATGAGAGCTAGTGATATTACCTGAGTGTTCAAACCAGGGGAGCTAGATAGATGTTTGAACCCGCAACTCATTGGTTGGAAATACACTTACTAATCCAACTAGTCACGATCCGAAAAATTGTTCAATGAGTGATCTTGTTTTTATCACCTTCCATTCACGTTCTTATTGGGTGTGTGATCTTTGATTGGCTGTTGATGAAATAATCTACATCTTTGCAATGCTCAGTGTTATTTCATCTGCCTGGATAAATGATTGGTTGAATCAACCTGGTTAACTAGTTCACTAGTTACTAACCCGTCCTAAGACCGGGTAAAGAGGGAAGGTTGGGCATAAGGCTAGCAAAACTACGCGGTACAACAGATCTAACCGCTAAACAAACTTCAAAACACAAACAAAATATAAAAAATAAAAACAAAATAACTCCTTGCTGGAATCGGAGAGGAGAAATGACGCCAATTGGTGAAAGCTTTCAGGAAGCCAATTGGCCGGTGTATCTTCTCTCGATGGGAGTGAAAGTAAACATGAGGGCAAGGAATGTCCGCACGATGTTTGAACCCAGCAAGGCAGCCAAGATTGCAAAAGAGATGAGGGGTACAGCATAGCAATTCTTGGAATCTGCGAAAGCAGATGGAATGGAAGTGGACTCTCCTAACTGTCAACTGGAGAGGAGAGTCAATAATCTACTCCGATATTGTCACCCACACGACAACCACAACCACACTGAGTGTTGGAGTGGCTATCATGATGTCCCCAACAACATCGAAGGCCCTCACACAATGGGAATCAATCTACTCCAGCATCACGATCATCACAGCAAGGTTCAACTCAAAAGGAAGGAAGGTCACAATCATACAATACCAATGCTACACTATGCACCTACAAATAATGCAGATGGAGGAATTCTACAGACAACTGCAATCAACACTGAACAAGACCTCAGTTGGCGATATCAAAATTGTAATGGATTGGGTGAGATGAATGTCAAACTGGGAGTGGACAACACAGGAAGAGAACTAACCATACATCGAGAAGCACTCGGTGAGGTGATGAACGAGAATGGAGAATTGTTTGCAGAATTCTGTGCACTCAACGATTTGGTGATTGCAATGAGGCAATGTGTTCAGGCACAAAATATCCACAAAGCGACATGGATTTGGTTTCACCAGACACCAAGTCACACTAAAAATCACATCGACTTCATCTCAATGTGAAGAAAGTGGAGACGCAGCCTACCTGACGCAAGGTCAAGAAGAGGAGCAGATGTAGGCTCAGACCACTATCTAGTGCAAGGAACCTGCCTCCAAAATCAAGTTGAAAGCCTTCAAGGAAGCTGGTGATAGACCACAGTTGAAGTACAACACTCGGAAACTGAACTGAAGTACGAAGCTACACAGAAAGTCTTCACCTCAGCCATCAAGACAAAATGGGAGATATCTTGGAACATTTCTGAAGAAACCTGTGTGGATAAGTACTGGAAGTCTTTGAAAGCTATGTGGAAAGAAACCTGGATAACCGTATTAGGAAGGAAGAGGAAAGGAGATAAGGAATGTATCTCGATGGATACATGGAAGCTGATAGAGCAGAGAGAGGAGGATGGTGAAGCAGAAGATAAAGCAATGCAGTGCAAGGATGCACAAAGAGAAGAGGAAGTGAGTGCAATGTATAAAATACTACACTGGACAAAGAAGTGAAGAGTGTGTGGGAAGACAAAAGACACTTCTACGACACATTGTCAAGTGAAGCAGAACAGGCTGCAAGTAGGAGAGATGACAGAGACCTGACAACATTGTATCTAATAAACAGGTTACTATCTGGCAGGGAAGAGATCAACATAGTGCAGATGAAACCAATAAAATATGATGAAGGAAATATAATTACTGAAGAAGAGAAACAAAGGAGACTATGGGCTGACCACTTCAAGAAGCTTTTGAATCAACCACCACACCAGCACTCCGTCCAGAAATACCACCTGCAGCTCAGCCACACAACTACAAGTGAACATAAATCCTCCAAGAACAGTGGAAGTCCTGAGAGCCGTAAAGCTACTGAAATGAGGGAAAGCATCAGGATTAGATGGGATCCCGTCAGAAGCACTGAGAACAGACGCAGTGACAACAGAGGACATGCTAACATCACATCACTATTGCGGAAGGTGTGGAAGGAATGGAAGGCACCTGCCCATTGATTGGAAGAAGAGCTTTCTTGTCAAACTCACGAAGAAGAAAGGAGACCTCAGTGTTTGCAAGAACTCACGCGGAATCATGCTTCACTCCTGTCCACCCACAGCAAGCAAATTATTATGCCGCATCATCTTGGAGAGACTAAAGGATGAGCTGGATTCAAAACTACCACCCGAACAGGCTGGCTGCATTCACGAAGTACAAATCATGTGCGGACCAAATCACAACGCTTCGCATCATCATAGAACACAGTGTAGAATGGCAGTCGACTGGATCTCAACCTCAGTTTCATCGACTTTGAGAAGGCCTTTGACAGCGTCGACCGAGAGGTGATTTGGAAACTGCTTCAACACTACGCAATACCACAAACCTTTATCAATCTCATTCAACAACTAAAAGAAGACACCACATGCCAAGTAATTCACAAGGGGAAGCTCAGTGATGCTTTTGAAGTGAAGTGAAGACAACAGTGAAACAAGACTGCAGTCTACTATCACCCATAATATTCCTGATTGTGGTCGACTGGATCATGCGGCAAACAGTGGGGAGCTGTGAGAGAGAGAGATAGGCTGGACTGTGGGAAATAACCTGGAAGATCTGGATTTCGCCAGTGATGACTTGTGTCTAGTGTCACACAAACTTGAAGATATACAGGCGAAAACTAACAAGTTGACAGAAGAGGCGAGTCAGGGCAGCGAAGACGGGACACAATTCAAGTGAATATGGAGAAGACAGAAGTGATGAAGATACCCAAACAACAACAACAACAACGACAGCAACAAACACCAATCACAATCAGTTCGGAGAAAATTGAAGGAAGTAGCCTCTTTCACCCATCCGGGTAGCAGTGTTTCAACTATAGGCGGCACTGACGAGGATGTCAAAGTCAGAATCAGAAAGGCAGCAAGACTGGCGTTTATTAGCCCGAAACCAGTGTGGAGATCTTCTGGTCTACACTCAGCATAAAGCATGAACAAGATGAGGATTTTCAACACCAATTCAGTCAATTCAGTGCTTCTGTGTGATGGTTCATAGAGTTGGCGCGTTACGAAAGTGATTTCCAATAAACTGCAGATATTCATCATCAACTGCTTACGCTCACTCGATATTGAAGATCAGATGGCCAGGAAGAATAAGCAACGAAGAGCTCTGGCCTGGCGA